CGCGATGTCCCGCCCAATCTTCCATGGTTTTTCTTTCGCAGATTGAGGCCACACGGGTCGCATATTGGATCGAGATTCGCCGGAAATCGGAATGTTTGCCACTCGAGTCGGCTTGGACTGGACGTCTTCATCGCGACGACAGGGGTTGGAGATGGTCTTTGGGAATGAGTAACGAACTGGACGGCGTTCCTTTTCGATAAATTCATTCTTATCCGTGCACAATCTTTTCGAGAAAAGGAGGATAACGATTTGGGTCGATTGTTTACGACAGTTTGGGAAATTTCGAACTGAGGGGATAGGGGCTAAGTTATTCTGCGATTTAATCTGTTGCAGCGTTTTCTAGTATATTTTGGGAACAACTAAGAATCAAATTGAAAATTAAGAAATTGTAATTTAAAATTAATAAATTCGTTTTGCTGGTGAGTAAGTAATTGTAGTGTCATCTGTGAACTTCAAATTACGGATAAATATAAATTGACGTTAAATAAGTAATGAAATTCTGGAGTTTAGAAAAAGATTCTTTTCGTTACAGTTTCATACCTTCAAAGCAAGTTATCTTTCTTTAAGAATTCTTATTAAAAACAGCAAAAGTATATTAGATTCTACCTACAGATAATCCATCATATCGAAACATTAAATTCATACTATAACAGTCAATTATAATACGAAAAAAATGAAAAGTGAGTAAAACGTGGCAAAACGCGTGCAATGGATAAAAATTGATCCACTCGCTGTGTAGGATACGTGAAGTCAACCCTTATCACTCCAAGAAAATCATAGAATGATTGCTCGAAATAAATTTTGTTAATTTCAAAGAGGAAAATCAATTATGAATTTTGGATAAGCATAAAATAATATGAAAAAGCTGGGAATTAATTTATACATATTTTACTGTTGCAATTGCGTTTGATGTATCCGTGCTTAGGGTTAACAGACCTCGATCCGAATGGGACGAGTTCGAATTGCATCATCGAAAATATTCCAGCGGCGTGACCATCGAACGAAAGAAGAGGTAACGGTGGGGTGGCGCGTTTGAAGGAAAAACAGTTTGCCTGAGAGGAACGTAGTCTGAGGCGAAACTGAAGCATGCGCTTAAATGATGAAACCAGAGCTTTGTCGCATCGGCTCATTCGCGAAACGGCGAGCGGGCGCGGTAACAGCGACTGGAAGCCAAATTGGAAGTCGGCAGCATGGCCCGAGAGTACCGGTGGCAACGGACAAGCGTCCAGACGGTCGGACATACGGCCAGAAGCTCTAAAATCTCTTGCGTCCGGTGTTTTACCGGCGCACATGCGAGGGCTTAAGGGTGGGAAACGTTGGAACGTCGGGCCAGAACATGGACCGTTCGCGACTAAACGAGCAGAAAGCCAAAGGAAAGCCGCGTTTGGCTAGTATTCGTGGCGCTGCCGTCGGGTTTAATTACTCTCTTCATAGAGACACTAAACATTCGGCTGTTTGTGAGGTGGTTAGTCGGACTCGACGCGCGACGCTGCTGAGTGTGCGCGCCCGTTTCAGCACACGCTGGCTCCCGTCTGTCATAGAAACGATAATTACGGTCGCAAAGCTGGCTTCTATCGGTGCTTCTATAACCGTAATGTTACCTGTCTAATTCCGAAGTCGATCGGATTCCGCTCAATTTCCTTCCAATCACGACACTCGACGCATCGCTTGTGCTTTGGCTGCGTCAAGGAACGAGTTAAATGTCAGGACCAGTTTTTCATTGACTGATTTATCATTAATGAACAGTCATTTACTGATTCAAAGTTATTTCAAAGTGTATTTTTATCTTCTTAAATCATATATGCATCAGCTGATGAATAATTAGAAAATAATTTGTATAGACATTAGTGTTTTGTTCCTTCGCCAAATGCTTAAACGCTTCGATCTGAGTATCTTCTCGGTGAAGACCAAGTTCATGTACAAAAATTTTGCCTTCCAAGCGAAATACTCTGTCCGAAGAAACGAAAGGCACAGAGGAACAGAGGACAAACGAAAACCAGCACTCGGATGCTTATAAAGCCGTCTGCGATACAATGTGGCTCGTCTTTTAAAGGGGACAGAGCTGACTAGCGTTAGAGTGCCGAGGCGAAGTTCGCCGCCCCGCATCATCGCCCCGTTTTAATTAGCTTTACCAGCCGATAAACAATAAGCCCTTATTTCTGATGAATTAATTTCCAACAATTCTGCCGGCTAGTTTTACGAGAATGAGAGCACCGGAGCTGGTAGCTTTCATTCCAATGGCAGGTTTTCGTGCCTCGCATCGTAACGAGCATCCCCTTTTACGTAATACGATCTTGTGTCCGTGGCTCGGTGAAATTTCTGGGACGCGTCCTCTTTTGTCGAGCTACCGATGGCGTGGAAACTGGCGTCGAATAACGTCGACACATTTTTGTGGGCCAGACGTTATATTTGAGATAAGCTAAAGGCAAGTACTTCTTTAATCTTTTATCTTGGTACATCGCGTGAGATTCGTGATACGTAAACGTATGAAACATGTCTTAGACTTGTGGTTCATTTAATAACTCTTTGCAGTCCGAGCATTTTTCGATGCAATCAACCAGTAACTCTGGCTCATTTTTATAGCGAAACTTTTGGGATTACTGAAACTCAGTTATACCATGAAAAGGAGGAATTATAAAACAACTAATAGAATAAGAAGTTGAATTTCATAATTTGAAATCATCTGTTAGAGAAGCCAATAAAGTTTACAGAGTTAAACATACTTCTATCAAGATTCTATGAGATTCTATTGAATCAATATTATATTTCCAAAAAATTGACAGTATTTGCTTGTAACTTTATACCGTTTGGCTTTTACTTAAATTTATTAAAAAAAAACCTTCACACAATATTCTCAGGAAGAAACATTAGTAAAATATATTTAGAAATTTGGAGAAGTTTATTATGACCTAATACACGAAGACTTAATACCACTGACAGTGATCATTTAATAAAACTTAATATAATTGGCAGTTTATCTTTACAAACTTGCATGTCATGCGGTTTCACGAATCGAATCTCACAGCAGGCGATAAAAGAAGCCCAGGTTGAGGCGAACAGGATCTCCATGCGAGAATCTTTACACGCTAAACGTTCTCACTGAAAATTCCAACGATTAAACCACGATTTAACCAGTTAACTGTTTTTGACAAGTATACTCGTCATGAAGAAATGGTCAGGGTTTGCGTCATAATGCAGCTAAATTGTTTTTGCGATATATTTCAGATACACACTTTTCAAAGATGCCGCAACTGGTTAACACTTTAATTGGTTTACAATTCAGTTCGCGTATTGCTAAATAAACTTCTTTAATAATTTCTCACAGAAACGTCTGTTGTCTTTATAATAATCAGGAATGGGTCATTTTTAGTGTTCACTAAAGCAGTTAACTGGCAGTTTTAGTGTTAAATATTTTCGCGAACCGAATCCTAAGACCAATCGATCGGGTAAAACCGCTTCGACGACCAGCGAATCCGAGAATCCGTTTCGAAAGGAATATTCAAGCGAATGCGGACGATCGCGGACAGAAGGACGCGTCGCGATGGAGGCAAATCCGAGCGGGAAACGGGAAGAGGAAGAGGAAGAGCGAAGAGAAGGAGCAGCCGCAGCTTATGCGGCGCGAGACGCTCATCTGCATTTCAAATCGCGCGCCCTGGCCCAAGATTTCCGCGCGTTGCTCCGCGGACGTCCGTGCATGGCCAGCCTGAGCGTATATCCGAATGCTCGAGCGAAATAGACACATGCACGCGTACTTAAGCAGCGTCCAGGCTTGCTACTGCTGCTCGCTTTGTTACCGTGACCTGCTACTTACGCGATAGGTCATGGTATATAAATGTAGACGATGTTTCTATCTTTAACACATTCGTTGACTACTTAGCTGGCTGGGCACTTACGTTGTGCCGACGCTTTTCTAACTGAGTATTACATTCTGAGTATTAATGCGGTAAATCAACTTCTTACCCTATGATTTCTTTCATAGCTGGACTTGATAAAGTTACTTTATCGTGGCACTTTTTATAGAAGAAGACAAACAACTTTAAATGTCACAGATTGATAATAGACAAGTAATATTTCATTTGTATAAAAAATAAGTGAATAACATTTAGATTTGTCGAAATCAATTGATAATTTCCATCACGTGTCTGGTACGATGTTATAGGGTAAGGAGTTAATATAAAAAGAAATCGACTAATTCTATTGACACTGAACACTGGGTTTCCCCGTTTGTGTTGATGTAACTCATTGGTTTCACTACTACCAAGTGTGTAAACACTAGATTTACAGACATTTATCGTATACTTTATTGTATCGTTCCTAAAACAATAATGATTCACTTATACAGATCTGGGGAACTAGAGCTTCAAAACCAGAGGATTAGAATACGTATTCTTACAATTGCTTCAAACAAAAATCGATATCAACTTTTACCGAATAACGTTAATAAAATTTAATATCTATCAAATTAACCGGTTCCGTAAAACTAATGTTAAACAAAAAGTATGTATATCTAATTGATCCTTAGATCATCACCCACATGACCAATCGCATTTATGTACAATGACCTACTGTCCTCCGCTCAGAAATCGTTAATTATTTATTGTTTCCAATGAACAAGATCGAATAAAGATCTTAAAACTGCATGCGTTATGCATAATTGAATAATACTTGATCAAACCGAGAGCAGATTGAAACCTAACCGACAGTACGTATCGAGCTTAACCACTTGTGGTAACAAAGCAAGGTGCGATACCAAGTCTGGACGCGGCCTTACAAGCGCCACGGGCCAGGGGTCGCGTGTATACGCGCCAGGATGGAATGTGATACGATGGACGCGAGATCGCCACTTTACCTTGCGGTACTCTTCCGCGCCGCGGGATCGAACGCGCGTGAATTTACGATAACCGACCGGGAAACCGGCCGGCAGGCTAGCCGGCAGGAAGTTGAGCTTGCTTCTGACTAGACCGACCTCGTCCGGCCGGA